TTTTGCCTCCCAGGGAAATGTATATCTATACCAAGCTGAGAGAGGCAAAGTATAATAAGTCCTTACTGGGTATCCATCAATGAAGCCAAAATGGTGTGAGATGTTTTTCCCTTTTTCTTACTGAGCTACCAGGTAATACTATTGTCTTTATTTTAAACATAAACAAATAAAAGTTCAGGATGACCAACTAATGTGTACAAAGGTGGTGAACAGCAGAACCAGAAGTTGAATTCAGATTAGTTTCCAAAGCCCTCCCTTTCTACACTATACCATTCTCCTTTTCTTGAGGAATGAGATAGAAGAAGAAAGAATGGACCCTAAGCTTGAAAAGATCCAGAAGGGCAAATCCGCTTTTCACCATTGCAATTTCTGTGTATCTGTAGTTTTATTCACTAGTGACCAAGACTCCTTTAGAAAGTTTTCTTCAAGGATGGGAACAGGAAGGTATTTCTGGCCAATCCTTATTAAAAGAGGCTATTCATTTCAGTTTATTTTTCTCTGAGTCCCCACACTCTCTACTCAGGAGTTCCGATTAATTAAGGTGTTACGCTGTTATCTTTTATGTGTAAATTCACTATTGGATAAATCATGAAATTGTCTTCGAAATGTTTAGCTCTAAACTTTCTTGCCTCCACCCAGATGTCCATGTAGAATAACAGAAAGTGTTCTTTATTTGTTCCTCACCCAAAGATGTGGTGAGTGTATGTGGGTCAATTTGTAAACCTACACAGGCCCCTGCTTAAAAATAAAAATTCATTTACCAAAAGGTAACTATGATCATAATCAGGTTTGGAGGTTCATTTCTAAAGTCTCCCTTTGCAACCAAAATTATTGGTATCTAAGGATCCACACTGATAAGCTGGAAAAACTCCAATAAGCAAATTGCATGCCAAACTTGAGAGTTAATTATTAACAAATTGATTCAAATGGGAAAGAAATAGTTTAGAGAGTTTGTCGGAGTGTTCTTAGCCAAAAACTTCACTCACATTTAAAAGATATATTTTTCTTTTCATTATATGAATAATATTGTAAGACTTTTGTCAAATAAATAGAAGTTGTACATAATCTCATAATAACTCATTTTGATGCATTTTATTCTAGTCTTTCTTTTGGCCTGGGCATAGTTTTTTAAAACATGTTTTAATTATCACATTCTTATATGTGTCATAAGTATTTTCCCAAGTTGTTGTCATTGTAAGCTTTTAAGATATAAAGTTAATTTTTCATTGTAAAAGTATAAGTGTTATTTTTAGAGAAGTTGAACTATGATAAAAAAATAGAAAGAAGGAAACAAAATCATCTGTAGGCCCATCGTCTATAAACTACAACTGTTAACATATTTTAGAGTGATTACTGACACTGCTTTATGCATGTTGTTGTTATTTATTTATTTTTTAAGATTTTATTTATTGGGAAACCTGGGTGGCTCAGTTGGTTAAGTGTCTGCCTTCAGCTCGGGTCATGATCCCAGGGTCCTGGGATTGAGTCCCACATGGGGCTCTCTACTCAGTGGGGAGCCTGCTTCTCCCTCTGCCTGCTGCTCCCCCTGCTTGTGCTCTCTCTTGCTCTCTCTGACAAATAAATAAATAAAATCTATTTGAGAGAGAGAGACAGTGAGTGAGAGAGAGCATGAGCAGGGGTTGGGGACAGAGGATTGAGGGCCAGAGGGATTTTTTTTTAATTGAAGTATAATTGACATACAATATCCTATCAGTTTCAGATGTACCTCATAGTGATGAGATATTTTTATACATTACAAAATGATCCCCACCATAAGTTTAGTTACCATCTGTCACCAAAGTTATTACAATAGTATTGACTAATTCCCTATGCTGTGCTTTACATGCCCATGACTTATTTTTTTTTGTAACTGGAAGCTTCCACCTGTTAATCCCCTTCACCTATTTCTCCTGCCCCTCCAGCTCCTACCCTCTCTGGTAACCAACCTTTTATATCATGTTGATTGATTTGTGAATGTTACTTACTTTTCAATGGTGGCATAATCTCCACTGAGTGATTCCACTATAATTTTCCTAATTGTTCCCCTATTGTGGGAGGTTAGTTAGTTTATGAATTTTGGTGAATTTTTCCCCCATAAATTAGATCTCCAAACCTATAAAAACTGAGTCATGGGGCATATGTTGTTTTATGGCTATTCCTAAAGTGAGAGGCTTCTCTCTGGAAGTGCTTTTGTGAAGGGTGGAGTGTGGGTGTTGAACACAACAGCCTATAGTCTGTCTTCCAGCCCTTTCTCCACCACGCACTTTTCCCACCCCTTCCATCACCTGCTGCACTCTTACAAATAAGCATGCCAGAGGTGTGTCCACTCTTGTTTCTTGGCTTTACTGTATTTTCTGCTCTAAACAAGACAGGAACTGGTTATCTCTTCCTTTAAACTTTCAACTTAGGCAAATAGTAGGTGGAGCTTCTCTTTCTTTCTGAGCCAAGAAGGATGACATTGCTCTTTGCTTTGTTGAGGAAGTTACCTCTGTTTGTCTGGAAAGCTTCAGAGCAACTGCTATCTCTCTGGTCTTCCCTCCTCCACATACACTCTCCCTCTCCTGTTGGGACCCTCACATTGGGGTCCCTGGCCATCACTGTCAAGGCTGGATTGTCTGCAGCTGATGCCCATAAACAATGGCTCTATCATGTGCCCTTGGGGATTATGAGGAAGAAAGTGCAGGAAGAGTACCTGTGTGGGGTTACTTATTATTGTGTTTGCCATACCCAGAGGTTTTCATTTTTTGTGCTTTGCCCACTAGTAATAGTAATGATAAAAGCTGATATTTGCAGAATTCTCATGGTATCCCTGGCAGGAAGACAGTGTGGTCAGAACACCAATAACTTTCCAGCCACTTCTGGAAAAGCATCACCATCTCTGATTGCATATTTTACAACTCCCTTAACCTACTCAAAGGTTTGTTGGGAAGGTCACAGAACATAATTCTAAACTGTGAAGTGATAATCAAAACAACAAGATGTCATCGTTATAATTATCAGTGTTTTCTCTTCAACCATATGCCCTTAACAATCAAGGAGAAAGATATACTTCCTGGGGCACCTGGGTGGCTCTGTTGGTTAAGCGTCCTACTCTTGATTTCAGCTCAGGTCATGATCTCAGGATTGTGAAATTGAGTCCTGCATCAGGCTCCATGCTGGGTATGGAGCCAGCTTGGGATTCTCTCTCTCCCTTTCCCTTTGCCCCTCCCCCCCTAAAAAAATAATACTTCCTGAACTACAATATTGATGAATTTCATTTTTTTGGAATTATAGAATCAGTCAAATTAGATTTTTTTTCAGGTTATGCTTTGTTCATTTAAATGTTTGGGATAACCCCTATTAATTATTTATTTTAAGAAAGTATAGAGCATATTCCTTGGTTTTCTTCACAAAGAATAGTTCTGTCAATGAAATCAGATTTTCTGAGTAAGAAGCAGATGACTACCATGCATTTAAATTTGAGGACCGGGCGCCTGGGTGGCTCAGTCGTTAAGCGTTTGCCTTCGGCTCAGGTCATGATCCCAGGGTCCTGGGATCAAGTCCCACATCGGGCTCCCTGCTCGGCGGGAAGCCTGCTTCTCCCTCTCCCACTCCCCCTGCTTGTGTTCCTGCTCTCGCTATCTCTCTCTCTGTCAAATAAATAAATAAAATCTTAAAAAATAATAATAATAAATAAATTTGAGGACCAATTTAAGTAAATGACTTTTTCTTTTTCATGACAAAACTGATGATAGCTAAAACATCACCAGCCAAAGACATGGAAGTTGAGTAGCTATAGTGATTATTATTTTTTTTGGCGTTTAATAAAACCCACATATACATGAATCTTCCCTTCTCAATGAGGCCTCTTATGGTCCCCCTTATTTAGTTCTACAGTTTGTCCTCACTTTCCCCCAGGACTGCCTATCCCCTTCACCCTGCTCTGCTTTGTGTTTTTTCCCTTGGGCTTTTTCATTACAGTCATTATAAAATAATACATAAATCAGTTATCCTTTATGTTTGTTATTTGTCTCCCCCAACTTAAATGTAAGTTTTAGAAAGGGAACTATCTTGGTCTGTTTTGTTTACTGATGTATACCAACCACCTGGAAGGATGATCAGTACCTAGGAGGTGCTACCTATATTTGTTGCATAACCTGAATGAAAAGTAATTATATAAAAATATGAATGGTAGCTATACTACCATTTTTATACCAGCTAATTTTTATTAGCTAATTGTTACTGAGCATTTACCATGTACCCGGGGTTATGCATACACCTATCAACCAATGCTCCCAACAAATTTATGAAGCAGGTATCATTAATACTGTTAAATTACAGATGGAAAAACTGAGCATTAGAAACATAAAAGTAAATTGTCTAATCTTACAATCCATATGAGAACTTTGATTTAAACCCAATAAGCCTGATTCCCGGGGACCCTATTTAAGCTGGGCAGTGTTGCTTCTGTATTATCAATTTACTGAGATATTATTATTGAGATTCCAATGGATTTCATTTGGGAAAGGAGGTTTCCCTATGTAAACATTTTTGCCAAACTGCTGCCCTAGGCATTTGAACCAAACCAAAATCTTAGGTTTGCAACTCTAGGCCTTTAGCAGATTTCCATGTGATTAAATTCTGTAGCATTTGCACTATTTCCTGCACCTTTTATTACTTAGTTTTGCACAGACAAGTAAACAACTTTTGTTACTTTAAGGACTTTCTTCTACTCTTTTATATAAAAAAAGTCCTGTTCCTCCTCTCTCTGCATTTTATTGTGTTGCGTGTTTTGCTCTGGCTTTATGTGTGTGTGTGTTTGTTTGTTTGTTTTTTCAAGTAGGCTCCACGCTGGGCATGGAGCCCAATGTGGGCTCATGACCCTGAGATCAAGACCTGAGCTGAGACGAAGAGCAGGATGCTTACCCGACTGAGCCACCTAGGCATCCCTCTAGGTTGTGTGTTTTGTCTGTGTTAATTCCAGTGACTGTCCCCTTCACACTCCCACTTCTCTTTTCTAGGAGAATGATATAAACCTGACCCACATTGAATCCAGACCTTCATGTTTAAAGAAAGATGAGTATGAATTTTTTACCTATCTGGATAAAGGTAGCATGCCTGTCCTGGCAAACATCATCAAGATCTTGAGGCATGACATCGGTGCCACTGTCCATGAGCTTTCCCGAGATAAGACAAAAGACACAGGTAAGAAACAGAAGGATTTTGCAACACAAGCAACTTGACATTTTCTTCAAAAAATACTGGCAAAAATAGTGTCTATCCTGGTAGACCACTGTGGGGGACTAAGCTGGAGGAGGTATGTTAGGGACCTAGAGGTGTACCTAGCACATTTTAGACATTTAATAAATGTGCTTTTTTTACTTCCTCAAGACAGCTATTTCTTATATTAGTAATTTTCTTTCTTTTGCTGCAATTTTATATATTCTAAATTTTAGCGATCATGAATAAAGCAATTATGAACATTCATGGGCAGGTTTTTGTGTAGACATGAAATTTTAACTCATTTGGGTAAATACTTAGGAGTGTGATTGCTGAGATGAACTTTTTTTTTCCTAAATAATCAAAACACTTTTTTCTACTGTAAAATCAAAAAAAAATTTTTTTTTTTTTTTTTTTGCCAGAACAGTGAAGACTTTGGGTCGAGAGAGTTTCAAGCTCTGTAGCTGAAAATAACATTTTAGTTGGCAGAGATGCCTTAAAATGAGAGAACACCCACCTCTTTGCACAGGCCACTGAAACATTTTCTAAAAGATACCCGCAAGGCCTTCCTAGGCGATCTCTCTTCTTTTTCTGCCCTCATCCTCCTGTGGCTGTTACCAAGACAAGGAAGTTTATTCCCGGATTCTGCCCCTGCAGAGCGTAGAAAGCCAAGCCCATGGGCTCAGGTCACTGAGGGGCAGGCACTTGGAATTCCTCTTCAGATCAACCCTTTTTGCCTTCCTTCCCTTCCACCTCCCGAGCTGCTTTGCTGATGAACGCCCTCTCTTGCTTTTCCGGCCACCTGCTCCCAACAGGAGCTGCAGGCCCTCAGGACAAAGGGCCTGCCAGATCCTGGGGCAAACTCTGCCTCTGCTTGGAGCAGGTGGAGGCTGGGCCAGCTGGGGTCCTGGGGTAGGAAATCAAAGCAATTGATGAGCAGGCAGGCAGCTCCTTGGGGAGCCAGGGAAGACATATGTAGATCAACTGAAGGGCGGGCAGCCTGAATTGGAGGCTCAGAAAGGAGGTTTTTAATGGAAACACGCAAGGATAGTTAGGAGTCCTGACTCCGGAACTAGGGCACACTACACTTGGTGTGACTTTAGGCAAATGACTACCCTTCACGATCTCCCACGGTATCAAACGAACAAGAGTCTCTGCCTCGTAGGATTAATGAAATAATGCCGGTGGAGCTTTGACGATGTTTAAGGGCTTAATAGATGTTCTCTATTCTTACCATTACCATCATTGTTATTATAAATCATGACCCCGGCACAGAAGCCATGAAAAGCCAGCCTGTACACAACAACTTTTTCAGAGATTCTGAGAACTGGCAAATGACCTCAGAGGTCGTGCAGTCCAACAGACTCCTTAATTTTTCATTGTAAAAAACAGAGGCCATGACTTGCCTTAAGGCACAGAGTGAATTCGGTGCAGTTGTGAGTAAGCCTGTGCCAAGCCTCACTCTGCACCAGGCATCGTGATAGGATCTGGGGGGAGGAAGGCTCAACACTACCCGTTCTGATGGCGCTCACGGGCTGACAAGCGTGAGGAGACACCCAGGTGAATACAGTCCAGGGACAGGTGTTGTCATGAGGGCAAGGTGATGGAATCTGGCAGGGGGCTGACATTTGAAACTGGGTTGACATTTGCCCTAGTGAAGACAACCCTGGTAGAATTGACCCTTGAAAACAACACGTGTCTCATTTTATTTATTCATGTGGTTGATCATCCCAGCCCCTACAGGCCGCCCCTCCCCGACACAGTTTCCTGACCCCCGTGTCCACGGAACAGAACGGTTGTTCAGGGTGCTGACCGTGCTCAAACAGCACAGTCTCGCCCCTGCAGAGAGGGGTGGCTCTTTGGGTTTCTCAGGTTTTTGAACTGGAGTCTGGGCCCAGAAACAGATCTTTCTGGGGAAAACAACCATCCCTTTGCAGAGTTGTTCTTTCCACGGAACTCAGTGGGAGAATGATTAGAGGAAGAAAAGCATCGTGGTAGATCTGAACCTTTGATTCTTTCACTCGACAAAAATGCCCCTTTCTTTTGAGGGGCTCAGATCTCGGGAGTGAGTCTGACAGCAGGTTGAAGTGGGAGATCTGAACCCCTCAAATCAATTTGGCTAAACCACTTTCCACTCTTGTTTTTAAACCATTCAAAAGGCCATGTGGGTGATAGAAAATGAAAGTTTTCAGTTTCTTAATTGCTAAAGTTCCCCACCCAAAACAGCTTAAGGGAAGGTTAATTATGGTGACATGTTAAAGAAATCCCATCCTTCTAAAATGCCTCCTGTAGAAGCTGATGTGACTTTAATAGGATTTTAATCCAGAGAGTCTTTTGAATACTTGAGGTCTATTCTCTTGCTATCCTCTCTCCTGATGACCTCAAATCCTTCTTCAACCCAACATGAAAGAGCATTAATATCTTCCATCGATCAATCTACTAATCCTTTTACCTTTCCCTTTGAGTCTTCTGCATGACATTACGTTTAGAAGGGGATGGAGAATTCCTACAGGGGGGCAGAATGCAGCCAGGAGAAGCAGACGGACAGAATGTCTTGGCTAGACGGAGGTATAGGATTATCACCTTTTGAGAAATTTATCCGATTGGAGTTATTTTCCAAGAGCAAATGGACATCTGGTGGATTTTGCTCAAGCTGTGGTAATTATAAGAGTTCTGCAGTGGGGGCAAAGGGAGTCCACGCTGCCAGTACAACTGTATTTTCTGTGGGGGAACGGAAGGGCTATTTATCTATTTATTCATCTATGTATCTGTCCGTCTGTCTGTTTAGCTATGTTTCTATCTGTCTGGCCTGGGGGCTCTTACAATTTTGCTTTTCCATTTGGATTGAATCCTGAAGCAGTGATGTAAGGGAAACAGTTATTGTGAGAAGACATGCACAAGCATCATGACACTCATTGCTCCCCCCTCACCCACCCCTCCCCGCTGCCAGCCCTGTCTTCCTGCCCACTTGCTGCTCCCTCCAGTGGTGCTACCCTGATGCGCAGGGCCCAGGTGAGGCTGAGGTGTCAGATCACCTGTCGGGGGACTAAAGCTAGAATTCCTTGGAGGAGCCTGGAAGACCCCTGGGATTGTGAGCAAGATGGTACATATGCATGTGCATGCATATTTTTAGAGTGATTTTCAAAGGGATCATGGTTCCCAAGGAGCTGAGGACCCTTAGAGAGAAGGTGCTTAGGGCTGTAGGGGGCTCCAGATGGCTGGGGGGTTCCCCATGCCCACCACTCATGCCCACCTTTCCTCTCTCCCTTCTTCTGCTCTTCTGTTCTGTGCTGCCCTCTTCCCTTTGTCCTCTTCTTGGTTCCAAACCTTCTCCTGAACATTCGGCTTTGCCCCAAGGGCACCTCTCAGGGCTCAAGGTGCTTGTTTGTGGCCCTGGGTCTTCAGGAGACAAAGGATCTGCATGTTTACAAAAACACAGGATTGACAGCCTTTTTCAGTACACCTGGATGCTTGCTGGATGCGTTGATGTTGTCATAAGTCATGACAGCTGGGGATGAGACTTTTGTCTCAGCGGCATGCCTCACTGGTACAAGCAGACCCACAGCTAAGAGGATAAGCCAAAGCAGGGGGTGTGTACCAAGCCCAGAGCTGGAAGCAGAGCTGGTGGTGTTGGTATGGGGCTCGCTCCCTTGCAGTCTGTTAGAGGCAGCTCTATTCACTGGTGAGGGAAGATCCAGGGCAAATGTTATTTCTAGAGCCCAGGCCATTTGCCAGGTCTCAGGGCTTCAAGCTAAGGAAGATCATAAATTTATAAGCAGACTCTGTTTCTAAGAGGGATCCCTTATTTGCATGCCCAACCCAGTGTTTTCAAAGTTCTTTCCTATTAGGTTGTTTCGTTTAAGCTTTGCAACAGCCAACTCAGATAGCTAGAGCAAGAAGCTAACAGTATTCTCATTTTCAATATGAGACACAGTGCTCCTTTGGAACAATGAAGATTCCACAATCCATGTGGCCCTTCAAGTTTACCCTGTCAAATACCTTTTCTCTGTGTGACAGGTGTGATAGGAGGTGATAAGAGAATATGAAGTGATTGTAACAATGTTGATTTGCCATTCATGTTGGGTTGAGGGAGCATGATAGCGATTCAGAAAAAGCCATGAATTTAGAGTCAAGAATTAGGACTTGGACTCCTATTCTGTGTACTGCCAACCAGATTTGAATCCCATCTTACCCCCTGACAGCTGGGTGACCTCATTATCTCTTGTTCCTCATATGTGAAATAGAGCTAAGACCAACTTGGCCACTTTCTAGGGCTTACGAGGAAGGTCATACAAGAGACTCTGAAGGTTATGGTGTTTGATAGATTGAGCTTGCTTGAGTTGAATAGCCCTTGAATTTAGACATCCTTAAGCCTCGGTAGGGAGGGGCTCTATGATCCACAACACCAGCCAACTATTAGGCTATGTGGCGCCACCAGTTGCGTGGATATGGACACGGACCAGGCTAACATATAGGGAGTTGGTGGCAGCCACACCCTCACTGGGTCCAACTTCACCTGGCAGGTGGGGAGACAGCTTCATGTGTGGGATGATGTGAGGGGTGCTGGGAATGACCTATCAGTTCCAAATATTACTTCCTGTGAATGTGCTTTTGATGCCTACTCTTATCCACTTGGCTGTGTGTTATACTGGAAATGGTACTGGTCTAGGAGATAGAAGGCCAGCTTCTCATGCAGCTTCCTTCCTTCTTCCTCTCTCCCTCTCTTCTTGCTTCCTTCTTTCTTTTCTTCTCCTCTTCCTTACCCTTCTAGCAACACCCATGACCCAAACCAGTATCCTCTTTTTTGTTTTCATTCTCTTTGAAAATTTTGTAGCATTTAACCATGGATTAATCATTTAGTCCATGATACCCCTGGAATTCTCTCTTTCCTTAGTATTTTATAAATTATGTGGCTCTTACTTATTAAAATACTGACTCTTGAGGGTTTCTTTCGTTTTCCTTCACTACTCCTTCTCAAAGACCAC